ACTCAGGCCCTGTTGGCTCAAGCCTGTCCGGGCTTTGAGGAGGCTGTGGAAGGAGTACGTTTCATCGCCAACCACATGAAGAGTGAGGATGATGATCAGAGCGTGAGTATTATATTATCTGTATGTTACACCATTATAGTAATAGTGTTTGTTGCTCCTTATCAGAGCCCGACAATTGCTAGACTTTTTAGGGTGATTGCGACATTGATACTCGAGAATGATAAAAAATGAGATAAGAGTATATTGGCTTATATTCATTTTCTCATGTAAACAAATTATTTAAAGCTTCTATAATGAATATTTTTATGTTAACAAATCAAGTGACTACTACTACTATTGTGAAAGGTGTCACATGTAGTCACAAACCCACCGAAAATTATCATCCACTTCTGCATTTCCCCTCAGTTGTATTGTTTTAGCTCACTTATGGCCTTCAACCTTACCGTTTAAGTTCACTCCTGCAATTTTCATCAGCGGAATTTCCAGAAACTCCAAAAACACAGATAAACCACTGTACGCTACCTGTCCAGCACCAAGCAATAGACACAGTTAACAACTAGCTGGTGCACAAAGTGGAGCATTTAGCAGCCAGACATTTCTGGTTTTGTAAAAACCAAAACAGAGCTAAATGAAGAGTAAATGTCAGGCTTACATTCATCAGGTAGTCAGAGACACAAGATCTAGCGTTGCTCTGTAACTGATAGATGTGTAAATAGGCAACTATTAGATAACACATTCACCATCTCAACATTATAACCTGATAATGTCAGTGTTTGTTTACAGCTATTTGCGCTGCACCCAAGTGGTCAAAGCATCCATAAATGTAGGTTTAAACAACTAAACTCATAAAACAAATTTGATTTTTTAAGGTAAACACAAAACCACAAAAACAAAGTAAATTATACTGACTGATGATGCCGCCAGTAAATTGTTTACTGCTGCAGTTTACTGCTCGGCAATCTCTTGCCAAAATACACTTCAATACCGATATATATCTGATAATACCATCCTGCCAATGTATCGCTTGGTTCTTCTCTATATTAAAATGAATTATTATCTTGTCTGTGTGGGGATAAAATCATAGCATAGAGCATCCCGAGCCGCACAGATCCGTGCCAAATCAAGTTATAGTGACGATAGAGGAGTACAGCAACGTCGATTAGCTCTGCCATTTGAAACGCATGGGGGACTACACCAGAGCATAAGCAAAGGAGACAGATCTGGTGACGCAATCATACCCCTCTGAATATTCAACACAGACATGTAATTATAGCAGCGGCATGACGCTTGCATAGAGAAGGAGTACAACTGGAAAGGCGCTGCAATAGAGGAACCAAGACAGCAGAGTGAGGGTGGTATGTTTTATCGCTTTTCCTCAAGGTATCTTAGGAAAGCAGCCTTCTCTCTGAAAGAAACTGATACAGGAATTAACAATCCTCTGTAATACTGTCCATCATCCACATAGTTACCAACCCGTTGCTATGCCAACAGCTTTTAAAAATCCTCCCTCTCCTGGCACAGTGCATGGCGTGTCAGTCCTTCCCCCTCCCCCTCGTCCTCCTCCTCCCCCTCTCCCCCAAGTCATCATCACAGGGGTTACAGTGTCAGCACCCGCCGTCTCTCTGCCCTCCATCACTCTCTCCCTCGTCACTCCCGTCCTTCTCCTCCTCCTTGACTTGTGTTGGACCTCATCAGAGCTGTGTGGCAGAGCGAGTCTCTGCTCACATTAACCCTTCACCTCCATTAACCCTCTGCATAGGGAAAGGCTAGAGAATGAGAGGATGTGAGAGAGTGTGATTCTGCTCACCTTAATCTTTCTCTTCACCCCATACTCCCTCACCCCCCAATCCACAGGTGAGCGAGGACTGGAAATACGTTGCCATGGTGATTGACCGGCTCTTCCTGTGGATCTTCGTGTTTGTGTGCGTGTTCGGCACATTGGGCATGTTCATGCAGCCGCTTTTCCAGAATTACACAGTCAAGACCATCACCAGCTCGCCTGGCTGACCATTTGCTGGCAGCGTACACAATGACGGACAGCTCCCCCGACCAATCAGCACAGCAGGACAAGGGCTGGAGGTAGTGGGGGGGGGCAGGTCTTGGTTTTATTGTGTTGAACTGGAACCAGAACTGGAACTGAACAGCAATCACGCCCATTACCTTTATAGTAACGTTTTTTGCAACGAACAACAGTTTTTCTTGTATGAAGAGAAAAAGGAAAACACCATCATACTTATACCTGCAGTTTTTTGTCCATATGTTAAATGGACTGACCTCCCCTTTCTGGTGGAAAGGTCCCTCCCTGCTCTCCTCTTCAGCCAGTCAAGGAGCGAAGATGGTCTGATTTGCTCTTTGTTGAACCTCAAGGCAATCAACACTTTCTGCTTGACGCTGACTGCTTAATTGACACATGACATGCCCGCCTTCAACTATGACATTACTCATTCATAATATTGACTGATGTCAGTAGGAGCTAATCAGAAAGGGAAGGGAGGTTCATATCAAGGTTCTTATACATTTATTTTATTTTTTCAGAAATCCACTATGTCAGTGAACTGATTCAGTATATTTTATCATAGCATAGCGGCTTACCACAGTATAGCATTAGGAATATATTATTAAGATTTCTCTATGTGTTAGCTCATGCAAGGGTCTGTTGGTGGTAGAGAGGCTACGGTGTGTTGTATGATTGTATAGATTAAACAAGAATGTGATATAAACTGTATACACAGCCTGTTATGCGCACACTAACACAACATGTGTACAAGCAACAGATTGTGATGGAACATACATAGAGGGGACTTGAATTAAACAAAGAACCAGGTTGCATTATTAGATGAAAGTCAAAAGGATAAAGTAATAGATTATGCATGGACAGTTTTTTGCTTAGAGAGTTGTGCACATTAAGTAGAGAACAGCAGCAGCCTGCTGTGCCAGGGTGCACAGCTGCAGTGAGATGAGTCTAGCTCCTACGAAACTGAGGAATCACAGCCAAGATGGTGGATAGGACCTCCTGTATGATGGGCCGTGGTTTCTCCCAGATGGAGTATTTAGAGCTCAGTTGAGATGGTGCAAAGATCAGTATTGGAAAAAGTTACATGTACATCAAATTATATTGATAGAAGGATGGGAATTTTATCATGGAAATTAAGCTATTGTGAGTATTAATATGTAATTTCATATTTCAGTATGTAATGTTCAGAGCATATGTATACATGTATGCGTGTGTGTATGTATGTGTATGCGTGCCCCATACCCCAATGCATTATCACATCTGTCAGATACAAAGTTCAGAAGAGCATATTATATGTGCTTCCCTCCTTCCCTTCTATTAATCTCTGGCAACATCTCTCCAATTCTCTCCCCTTTATCTGGTCTTCCGTGGACACACACATTGCTGACATTTAGTCCAATTAGAATTACGATTATCTACATTCTCTAAACACCTATTCACGGCAGTTTTCCTTTTCATCATGGACTGGCTGATTTGTCTTATTTCCCAGGTTCCCTGACAAACCAAGCGAGAAGCAAAAGGTCTTTTCAGGCACGCAGGGAGTGGGGGATAAATTAAATTTTCAATAAACAAGAGAGAAATGACAAGAGGGCCAACAATGAAGTCGCTGGAACAGGCAATATGTTACAGATGCAAAATCATAAGCAAAAAAGAAAAGGTATATGGCAATAGCAGTTAATAGTAATGTTTTATGATATTGTTTCAGCTAAGAAACAACAGACTGGAAAAAAAACAAAAAACAGGATAATCTGACCACAGCAAGCACAATCCAGATAGTCAGGAGGACTAAGCAGGGTAGGCAGAGACAAAAGACTGTTAGTGTTGTTACTGCATAGGAAAGCCACTATAAAACTCTGAAAAAAGATGTCTAATCCTCAGTCACTGTCACTCGCTGTGAGTTTCCCAGGCTTTTTACAGTCGTGTGGCCAAGTCTGCAGCTCAGCTCAGTTCTGGACTGGGAGCTGCCTCTCTCTCTCTCTCTCTCTCTCTCTCTCTCTCTCTCTCTCTCTCTCTCTCTCTCTTTGTCTCTGTCTCTGGAGGATGGGATTACCCCGGGGGATCCCCAACAGATCCCGGACGAGTGTGAAAAGCCTATCAGAGACCTGTGGAAACTGTAGGCTGCACAGCCCCACACGGACAAAGTGCTGCTGTCCACTTTTTTTCTCTCTCTTTGACCTTTCCACTATCCTTCCTTTCTTCTCACTTCCTCCCTCATTATGCTCCCCCCATCTTTCACCTTTTCCTTCCTGACTCTCAAATCTGCTCCTGTGCACACCTTAACCAGTCCAATAAAGGTTGTAGGTTCAGATTAATCAAAGTATGTGTGGCATGTTTTTGCTCTCCCACTCACACACACACACGTAACCTATCTATAAATGACTGTATTACCCAGACTTCCCATTAATCTTACACCACAGGATAGAACGAAAGAAAGAGACGTTTCCTGGCTTTCTAATATTGAGGCTTGTAACTTCCTTTTTACATATTTACACACACATACACACACACCTACACACTCCTGCTGTGCTTTTTTCTTCTAGGAAGCAGGAATTTTAAACAATCATGGGTGTAGAGCCCAGCCAAGGTCACTTCACATTCTCATTATGCTGCTGTAAAAACAGGAATGTGGGTACAGTATGTGCCTGCTCATATGCACCCTAGGATTTGTTTTTGATGCAGAGGAACAGTGTGATGAACTTGAACACACCACAGCAGAGGTAACTCACTCATATCAAAGACACAACCTCTTATACAGTATATATCATATGTCATTAACATAACGTGGGTATCTCTTTTTCAGTGACTGACAGATCTATCTTCAATCTACATTTACCCACTGCTGGAATAAAGTGCTGTACCAGCATGTGCAAAGCAACATTAAAGGTAATGCATTAATCCCCTTTTAGAAATGCTGGGTTCGATTGAGGGCCACTTGCTGCCCCCTGGTGCCCATGGTGGGTTCTTACTCATGGTCTGCTGTGATAAAAGTACAACCAACATTGTCTTGTTAGAGTAAAGGTCACATTTATTCTTTCCAGGGAGAAATTCCTTTGCTTGAATGTGTTACAAAATACATGAAAAGAAAAAGAAAGAGAGATACACTCACATATTCAACAATGAATGACAGGCGTTGAAACTGATTTAAACTCTCCATATTTTTACATAGCAATAAATACAGTTTGTAGTGGATTGATTGGACATTGCGGACGAATACACAAACACCAAACATTTACTGCTCAAGTGACAATTAGAATTGTGTATGTGTATTTGTGCACGTGAAGTCCGTAACAGGATGTCCCTCACAGGTCTTCTCTCCTGTCTTAACTGTTTCCTCCCTGGAGCGTGTGTGGGTTTGCAGAGTGGATGTCTTTGTGCTGAGAGAGCGCTCACTATTTCTTCTCTGGCTTGTCGTTGTACTCCAGAAAGAAGTCGTTACAGGCCACAGTAAGAGCTCCGACCAGTATAATGAACTCGGTGAAATCTACCTCTCCGTCATTGTTGGAATCCAGGTCTCCCATCACCTTATCCACTGCCTCCTTATCCTGAGCATTCTGAATGTGTTGAGGATAAAAACAGAAATGTAGGCTGGATCTATTTTATGAAACTTGTGTGTGCATCTTGTAAAACCTAAGAATGTATCTCCTTACCCCCAGGTAGTTGCCGAGCTCTGTGGTAAGCATCTCCTTGAGCTCAGCCCTGCTCAGTGTGTATTTGTCGCCCTCGTTTCCAGAGTACTTGTGGAAGGTCTGGATCATGAGCTGCATGGCGCTCTCCAGGGTGGAGGCATTCTCTAAGTTGGGCAAAGACATTCTGGAGAAGGATAGAATAAGAGGAAGCGTGGGAGGAGGAGAAAGCAAGAGCAGTCCATGTTAGCTGCAAAATCTACTCTTTGGAGCACGGTCGACAAGTCTGCTGCAGATCAATACAAGTTAAAGACTCTTGGTTGCGTTCTCTGACACACACTCTTGTTCTCTGTTTTTTCTCAGACACAATGCAAGACTGGCAGATAGATGCATGGACAAACACTTATAGATAACTGAATCAAAGCTTCAAACTGATGTTCTATGTGGTTTTTAAGCATATCTATCAAGTGACAGGAGAGGTATTTGGCAGAGTCGGAAACCCTGCACAGCGTGCTCTATTTCCTCATCAGGAGTGTTTCCTCCCCGCCAATGGTACTGATAAGATTTTTCTACAGATAAACTGATCCTCCATCTGTTTGTTGCTTTTCCCCAGTGAGAGGACCTCTGGGAGTGCGGACATAGTCAGCAGCCGGACATGTGAGCCAGCTGATAAGAGTGAAACTCTAAGCTGGTAAAACAGCCAAACCAGTGGAGGAGACGTAACCAGGACATGCAGAGGCAACCTGATCTGGCTTTTACTTTAGTTCCACCGGATGGCAGAAAACACCGGAGACAGGTGTAAAGCCTTGCCTTTCTTGAACCTACATCACCTCTGAACTGTGAAGACTTTTCCTAACTGTCAATCACATCTTACATCAGTCTCTCCTCGTGGAGAGAATGTTCCAAAAAATGTTGGAAAGACATTTTTGACAAGCCCTTTTTTAAGATAAATGAAGTTCCATAACTTATCAGTGAATAAACAGAAAGTTCTTACTATAGTTAGAAACAAGCTCTGAGAAATACAGAGACACAGCTTTCAGAGTTGAAGTCTGATCTACATAATTTCTTACCTGAGTGGAGGACGAGTGGTGGCGTGCTTGTCAGTTGCAGAGAGAGAAGGCAAAAGCGACTGATGAGGAGGATGAGGAGGACAACGTCTTAAATACATCCCTCACTCCACCCATCCCACCTATCCCTTCCCCCTCTCTCCCTCCTTCCACCTGTTGTTGCTCCTCTCCTCCTCCCCACCCCCCAACCCCTTCTCCTCTTCTCCTCCTTCTTTGTTTTTAGCATCAGACACCTGCTGTTCGCTGAATGGACACACGAAGGATTCACCTGCCCCCATCGCACTGTCAGAGATAACATATTGACGAAAAACACTAATAGCGCTGTATCTGCCGCAAGACATTAGATAAATTGAAGTACGCATAATATGACCACAAGCCACAGCACAAATGCCCTTGTAAACTTTAAATGTGGTCTTGTTATTCTCAAATGTCAGTCTGCATGGAGATTAAGTAAATCGGAATATACCAAGAATAAATAGTGAGTTTGGGGGACATGGAATTAGTTTGCAACATTCATACTTTGATGAGTTGAACACACTTGCCCAACAACATTTTAGGGCACACAATGAGTTGTGGTGAGGTGACAATGACATATCACTTACTATGCTACTGCTCGCTATTCTGACAGTGGATTATCCTGCTACTACCCTGTTGTGTAACCATTTTGTTCTGCTTGTCAAAACAAAGGAAAGGCTTGGAGGGAGTGCTAAAATAAATACTCGACCAAGACAGAGATGAATAAATTGATAACTCTCCAAATATGTCTTGTTTTAAGCTGTATTGGGATATGTGTGGGGGTAAGATGTTTACCAGGGAGGGGGCGCGGGGGTTGGGTTGGGGTCGGATCATGCCTGATACAGTATCCGAAGGATTAGTGTAGCACCGATGAATGGAACCATCACACCTGGCAGCCATGCAGAGAAATCCCCATACAAAGACTTTACAAAGTGCACACAAAGGCAAACATGCTCTAATGCAGAGAGTAGGGGCACACACACGTGCACAAACAAATTCACACCTCAAGCTCCAAAATACACTACATGCATGCACAAAACAAAGGAATAAGGATCAACTGCAGATGCAAACATACTTTAAATAGTTCATCCAGTACATCAGACTTAAAGCAGTATAATGGATACAGTGAGAGGCGAAAGGGCATATAAAGTAAATGAAGAGCAAAAGTAAATGACAGAAACACATACAATCATCTGCACTTGAATAAATTATCTAAGAGACCATACTTATGAAAGCAAACAGCATCAAAATGAATGCACAAACTCTATAATTGTCATGAAATGTATGTTTGATCTTCCATCTGAGTGCATCTTCTTGTCATTGCTGCAGTATAGGGGGTAGCACGGTGTATATGCACACTTGTATGCACCATATGTGTGTATGTATAATGTTGCAGAATGGAGGATGGTGCACAATAGGAAGCGCATACTGTATGTCAGGATCTGGTTGCAATAGTTTATGCATATAAAGGCTGCTGAGTTTGACTAGTCAGGGATGTCACAGCTATATTTAGCAAGTGTTGCTGGTGGCTGTGGAAGGAGCAGGTATCATTGCAACAGTGGCTGTGGGACAAAGTCAAATCATATGAGAAAAACCACTGTACACAAACAGTACTTCGTTTGGTTTCCAGCTAAATTTAATGGAAGTTAATGGCTGAAAATTAGACAATTTATGAAAATGCAAATCCAACTAACCAATTAAAAACAAAACACAATATAGTTTTTTTTAATATAAAGCTTTTATTTTGAAAATACAGTAAGTATCCTTTGTATAATTCGTATAAAAAAAAACACTCTCAGCTCAGAGTCCTTCAATGTGTCATTGACGGTGGAGATCAATAAGTTGAAAAAAAAGGTTGATCTGGACAGACAGTAAGGTGTAGTTGAGAGCATTATACAACTGGTTGATTAACTGTATGAAAATGATTATGGACTGTTATAAAAAAAATGTTTACATGATGTTTGGAACATTTGGAAAAAAAAAAAAAGGCTGTTAATTTGCTGATCCACCAAACACTGCAGCTTAACAAGCATCTATGAAGCATCTGCATTGGTTCCACACTTGCTCTGACTGAGGGAGTTGGCCACGTAGCCAATCAGAGAGAGGTATTCCTGAAAGCTGACCTTTCCATCGTTGTTCTCATCCAGTCCCCGCTTCAGCTCCTCAACGGCAGAGGAGCTGTTTGTATCCTGAACACAAAGGCATACACAGAAGCAGAAGGGAAATACTGTTAGTGGTAATATGGTAAAAATAAAATAAAAATCCAATATACTGATGGATTATTTATGTACAGCAAAGGGTGATGAAGAACACACAATGTTATGCAGTTCCTCACCTCCATGATGCCGCCAAGCTGTTTAGATACCAGTTTCTGGAAGCCTTTCTTGTCTAGGTTGTCCTTCCCCTTGGAAGAACTAATAAATGTGGTCACAACGGTCTTAATGGCTGCCTCCATATCTAAAGAGAGAAACAAGAACAAAAAGCCCAAAGGAGAATTGAATGTAGGAAGTGGTGAGTAGAGATATGACTATATCTTAGAGGCTCACACATCATCACGTTGGGTACAGTTCCCATAAATTATATTACTATGAAAATATATTTACATTTGCTACAATGGATGTTCTGGGATAGATAAAAGGCTTATTTCGGTTATTGAGTGCATCATTGCAGAAGAGAGCACATCATAACCTTGGAATGCTTATGCGCAGCTGACTGATCAAGATTAGGGATTCATAATTAACTAAAATTATATATTATAATGTATTAAAACATTACAGTATTTCACTTCATTTAGTATATGTGATATAATTGGAAACATACTGACATAAAATACATTGAGTGCAGTTAAAAAATAAACAAATGAATTGTTGTAATATTGCTATCTAAGCCGGGCAGCACTGATTGAGAAAGTGTTAGATGGATCACATCTTGTAATTGTATTTGAATTGGATATGTTTGGATATGTCCCCTCACATAACAATGTGAGAAAGGTGAGACAAACAAGTGATGTCAGCATAGAAGAGGAAGGGAGAGAAGAGAAGAGGAAGGGGCCGAGCCTGTGGAGGCTCTCTGAGGTAAACAGAGCAAGAGAGAGGGAGTTATGGAAGGTTGAAGAGGAGGGGAGTCTCTGAGGTAAACACAATGGGAGCTGTGATCTCTGACGGTGGACATCTGATCCCCAGAAGCCAGCGGGAGGCCACAGGTTCAGATTTCTGCCTGCTGCCCATCTGCTGCAGCACACCTCCCCTCACACTGTAGGAACACACTGCATACTGTGCTCAAGTATGAACTGACAAACATCACACAGCACGAATAGATTAAACAAGCCTGAAACATCTAATGCTGCTGTTATTGACAGAATCTCAGAGTCGTGTGAAGCCACATCCTCGGCTGAAGACGGGCAGTTTTTGGTTCATGTTACTCAATGCTTATTGCTAGTTGGACGTTGCAGGAAGGACAATGCAGAAACATCCTCTCATTGGATTTCAAACCTAGAATCACAATAGCTACGACCCAATTCCATATTACATGTCAATTCTACACACATTTTGATTATGTTGTACATACTGGAAAAATGACAAAAGTCTACTTATCCACTTATTTTTTGAGTTAGCTGTTGATAAACACTAGGTATTTTCACTGAAGGCAGTTTAACATGTGATAGTAGAAAAAGCACATGTGTAAACAATAAAGTTAATGATGCTTCAATTCAATTTAGCGGCTTCACTTTCAGGGTCCTGGTATTGTGCGTGCTGGCTCACTGTCACACTGTGACAGCTTACTGAGACACTTGAATAGAACGGAGCCATTGTTAAAGTTATAAATAACATCTGTGCTTTTCCTATTATAACAAGTCAAGATGTCTGCTGTGAAAAAGGCCTGTTGTCTCACAGTGCAATGCACAAATGAAATAGAGAAGTTACTCACAGCTGCAAAAAATAAAATGAATATAGTAGTGGGTGATGAAAGAGCTCCAGGAATATAAAGGAAAAAAATCAAATAAATATGTTTTTATATATATTTTTTTCTTTCTCCTTGTGAAGTTTATGTGGCAGTGACAAGCTGTGTCCCAACTCCAAACTCCATAATAATTCTAAGCAGGTTTTTGTACAGTTTTAGTTTGTAGTGTGTATAAAGTGACAAAATTAAGTATAATCAATACAATTAGACTGGATACTATAGTAAAACAGCTGCAAACACATTGTGGATGGTGATAAAACAGACCCATGGACACCTCAGAAAAGATAAACTAACTAATAAATCCTACATTTGGATGTCTATTTGTAATATTATAAGGTTTGATTGCCATACATCTTTGTACGTATTTTACCAGTTCTTGTTAGGATGAAACGATTAAGAATGCTGATTGTTGTATACTACCTGCAAAAACAGTATATTATGAAAATGTGTCTGAAGTATATACTGTATACAGTTAGTATGTAGTATGGAAATTTGGTTGCCATCCATAATCATAAAAAATAATTAAAAGTATTAAGATTAATACAGAGCAGGAATGATTATCAAAATGGTTGTCAATTATTTTTCTGTCAATAGACTGATCAGTTAATTAACTAACTGTTTCAGCTGTACTTGTATAAACTGTTGGGTAGTTTAATTGATAGCTAAATTCATCACATTTTATAACCTTCTAATATGATTAGTATGTAAAAATCTTAATTTGTAAAGTAACTAGTAACTAAAGCAGTCAGATAAATGTGGTGGAGTAGAAGCAGGAAGTGGTATGAAAAGAAAAGGTACAGTACTGTATATTATAGGTATGTAGCATGGCAGTAAGACACAGCTGTTGATTTTTAAGGAACTGGGACTGAATCTTACAGCAATAGACAGTGCTAATCTGTACGACCAGTGTGTGTGCACCCTCACTTTCCACTAATTCAGAGGGGTTTCTCCAGGTTTCAGCTCCCATTCAGCTTTATGTTGTCTCAACAAAACAAGATTTCCAAGGCAACTGCTCACAGAAAATAAAAGGCCTGAATAAATGCTGCAGATACTTGAGTAGAGTTGATAAGTATCACAGCAGTGGTGGTGTGAGGCCTTGCTGCAGGATTTCCAGTGTGTACTGGAAACTACTGGGAGGCAGCACATGATGGGTAATGATGATGAATGCCTGTGGCAATGTTGTTGGAGTAATTGTAGAAGCTGATAAATCTCCCATCTGACACAGATGTCACACCTCAGTGCTGACACTATGCACCTACACTGACCTACACACAAGGACATACAGATAGACGGACAGAAACACACACACACACACACACACACACACACACACACACACACACACACACACACACGCACATATCTACAGATGGACAACACCAATTAGGACTTCTGTTGCATTAGCCTAATTACTAGGTGAATGAGAGCAGGCACCCAAACCCTGTATTTTGTTTCATGTCTCCCTGCCATGCCAGCACACGCACACACACGCACACGGAGGTGGACACAACCCTTTCCAACATGCAAGTGAGCGTCTGTCATCAGCATGCTGTTCATTATTATTTAATGGGTTACTATAATTGTCCCAACACCTTCCTAACACCCTCTACAAGACGAACAGCAGCATGGGAGCTAGGCCGACCAGTGTCTGAATGTGTTTACAGCTGTACAGGCCATACATCAAAATGGTGGACAGGCCACCATCCATTAGCGTCTCTTCCGAGTGTAATGAGATGAACATGAAACCGAGGAGGCTCCAGAACTGGAGACATCATGGCCACAGAATTACAAATGGGTAGAAAGGAACATGCAGTAGGGTTTGTCTGATAAGAGCAAGAGGTGGCCTTACTGGGAGTGTGCGCTGACTACACATGAGACTCTCCCACAGCCGCTCTCGGCAGAGTGTGGAGATTGTGATTATAATGACTCAGGTGTACTGAATGCTTGTGTGAGGCCAAGTGCATTGTTTTATTTTCATTACTAATCCTCTTGGGGGGATTCTAACTGGAATTTTGCATGACACATCAGTTATTTCCTTTTTGGCTTGATATTTAAAAAAAAAAAAAAAAAAAGCATGTATGTCAATGTATTATAACCAGGTTAACCAAAGAGTGGTGTGTCTCTTTTTTTTAAACTGATCCTTTAATACCTATCCTGTATTTCACAATCACTGCTTAATGGATGCTGAACCACAGACTGGAAACTACTGCCCTAGCTGGTTCGGAATCTGGTTAATTAAATGTTTCATGTTAGTATGGTAAAAAGGAATGTAATGTCAAATTAGGGAATCTGATATCTCTGGCAGAATTCATGACCACTCAATGACCCCTTTGTTGTCTCTGTAGCTTATTCCCCCCCCCTCATTTTGTCATGTTATTCTCTGCAACTGTTCATGCTGCAGTCTTGGCCACGTCTCCCCTTGCACACTTGTCTGGTTAAACAAAGGAATAATATAATAGACATGTGTCTTTTGTCATATTATATTATCTTATATCATTATTGTTTTAATTGTGACCTGACCTGCTGTTGAAAGTTAAGCTCTCAGCTCACATGTAGAATATGCATCATAGTGTACGTGCATACCTCCTACAACCATGACTGTTGTGCAGACGTGGGTGAGTTTCGGCCATAGTCTGTGTTGCAACGAGCTTTACGGCTTGACATGTTCAAACCAGTTTACAGGTAAGCCAGGGAGGGCCACCCAAGCCCAGTCAACCCATTCCCCACTACCAAAATGTTCAAAACTCTGTCCTAAATGTCTGTGTTTTTACCAGGCCGACTGCAGACCACACAGGTCGGTATACTCTGGCACTGGCACCTGATAGTTTATGAGCATTGATTAACCTCAGCGACCAATCAGCTCCACCCTGGTCGTGTTGTTTGCGCTAGGTGTGTCTGACTCACATCCTCCATGAGCATGTTACCTGTCATCGCCCAGGTCAGTATTTCTCCTCCGCGTCAATTACTACTCCGGGTCGAAGCCATCCGAGTCTCGCTACCGGAGTCTTATCATAACGTTAATCATTCAGACTGATAAGAAGCCAAACCCCGACCGCCGTTACAATGATCAAAGTTCGGCTGCTTAACGGGGCGAAAACGGCCCTCGGCGCACACGCCAAAAACTAGTCGGCGCCGTGCGTAACGGAGATGTCAGGGGCTTGCCCGCGTCCCACATTTACATTTAGCCCGAACTAATCCTGACAATTTGTAGAGCGGACCAGAGGCAGGACTGACACACAGCAAATAAATAAGTAAACGTGACTCGAGACTCCTGTTTCTCTGGAAGTGTAAAGAGATTGGGGTTCGATTACCAAGAAGGAGAACCCGATCCCTGTGGCCACCAAGCTGGGTAATGACAATAGAGACGCTCGCTAATTATGCAAAATTTATGACACAGTGGAGGAAATAAATAAGATAAAGTGGTCCCTTTTTTTGCCGAGAAAACAGCGCAATGAACTAATGAACAATAATGTCCAGTAACCACAGAGGCTGAGCACAAAATTCAACATTCAGAATAAAGCAGACTCACCGTTAGGACAGGGGGAAACAAAAGGCAAGGAACTATTTCACTGGAAAGCTGCTCTCCTTCTCTCCTTCTCTCACTCTCTCTCTCTCTCTCTCTCTCTCTCACACACACACACACACACAGCCTCTTCTTCAGTCTTGAGCAAGATTAACCAGCAACACATATCTTTTCCGTGATTTAACTTCTCTCCCCAGCCAACTTTTTTTTTTCTCATTGTCATAGGGCGTGTGCCTGAGAGAGGAGGAATGTGGAAAGAGGCGCAGCTCGAGCAGCGCAGCAGTTTTTCACCAAGCATTCTGTAACAAACATTTCCGTTGTTCAAGAAAACACAGCGAGTCTTTATAATGTGGTTTAATAAATGTTTTTCATTTTCTTTTTTAGCATGTCTGCTTTTGCTGCACTCATCTCGCGCGTTTTCCCTTTTCGTGGCACACTTTCTCTCAACGTGTACAGCAACAGGCGCGCGCCCATGCCTAAAGTGCGCGTGTGTTCAAAGCTTTCCCAACAGACAGATGGATTCAGGCCACACCCTGAAACTTTACTCACTTGTGTACAGAATGGAAAAGATAGCGTTCACTGGCGAGGAAACTTTAGAACAAACAAACAAACAAACAAACAAACAACTGAAGGACTCAGCAGCAAATAAACAAGTCTTTAGATTTTATTTCCAGCTTTTAACATATTAATCTTTCTCTGCCGACACACCACACCTCTGTTTGGTTGCTGGTGGGAGGTGATTTACTCCACAAGGTGTGTTTTCCAAGAATTAGGAACGCCAAGAATACATAGTGCTGCTAACACACACACACACACACACACACACACACACACACACACACATTCGCATTCCCATACTGCAACTCCCTTGTAGACCTGTAAGCACAAGCAGCTGTGTGTATGTGTTGGTGTATGAGTGTGTGTGTGTGTGTGTGTGTGTGTGTGTATGTGTCTGCTGGGAACTAGGACTGGTTCTAATATTGCTGAAACTGATCAATAGTATTCTGTGACACAACAGTCTGCCAGTTTGGCAGTTGCTGGTGAGAGGATGGGGGTGAGGAGAAATTCACACTACTGATGAAAAACACAGCATTTAGCATTCGAATCAGAGTTTAGGGTGTTTTCCATTTGGCCGTTTTCCCATTTTCTCTAAGTGTATGGCACACAGACAATTTAGTAACACACGTGGAACTGTAACAGTGCATCTGAGGACACTCTATTGGCTGAACCCCCCATGTTTGCACGCAAGATGCCCAATCAGCTGCCAGAACTCCAGGAAGTTGAGCTCTCCATCGTTGTTCTCGTCCAATGAGCTCATGAGCTGGTCCATGGCAGTGGGGTCGCCAGCATTCTGCAGGAAAACAGGAAGATGCAACATATAGTACTTAAAAACAATAGAGATAGTCAGTGTGGACCGACTGTGATGATATTTTGGTTGTGCGTGTGGGGCGATGAGACAGATGCAAGCTGACACCACTGGCACGTACACCGGTTAAATAATTCATGCAGCATCAGCAGAGGTGGTTTGGCACAAGGATCTATTGCTCTGTCACCATCTAGTGGCCAGTGGGATTATTTTAGCTGTTGCATGCAAGCAGAAACATGGAATTTTCCACACTTGGAAAAGGCAGCCTTGGATTTTTTTGTTGGGCCTCAGGAACTGCTACTTTGTGCTGTTGTGCTCTGGTTAAACATGCAGAGTTCTGACAACACAACCACAACTAAACAAGACTAAAGTGCAACTCCAAAGTCTCTAAAGGGTGGCAACTCTTTATGAAAAACATTGTTTTTGTGGAACGCAGTGTAGAGTTATATCCTGTCCCAGAATGAGATGTAACTGCTCAGTCCTGCTCGGGATCACAGGCAGGAGTGTAGAGAGTGAAATATTCTGAAATAATCTTTTTCAAGCACTGTTATTTGACTCAGAAGTTACAGCAAGACCACATGCATTGAAAACTGCCCACGTAAAAGAACATAAGTAGCTGTTTGAAGACTAACAGTCTAAGTATGACTAACAGTTAATTATATGGTCAGAGCAAAAAGGGCCAATGTGGCATCCAGATGATACCCATTTCAATATGATTACGCCCTTTGGAGAAAGCTTTTTTTTTTTTTTTGTCTGACAAACAAAGAGATTCAGAACAAACTTAGAGTATCTTCCTGATTATCCTGTATCGGTCTGACTGCAGGTTACTCTTGTCAACTGGTAGCTGAGTGCAATACTTCATACCATAAATCTCCAGCTAAGACTGGTGATATTTTGTTTTCGTTACTTGTTATTACAGCGACTAATGAAAAAAACACCTGCACACCCCGCATTGTGTAATTAAAACCAAGAAAAGACGAAAAAACAAGAAAAACCCCAACAAGGCTTTGTCCATTTGTAAATACTCTCTTAGGTCTCCTGCCTGTCTGTGCCTCTCTGCCACAAACCCATTTGTTCCTATTAAAGATGAAGATATTTAGCCCCAGATAATACCTTTAATCTTAAAAAAGATAAATAGATTGCCTAAAACCCTTCAGCACTGTAGCTTTTAACACACGTTACTCAAAAAGGAGTAAATAGTGAATTTTTGTGGGGACTTTTGTTTTCCAGCTGCAGGCACACATTTGGTGCAGTAGTGAGTATTTATGGCAGCAGGACAATGTGTGTGCGATCAACTCAAAATAAACTCCAGTGTCAGGGTTCATTGTAATGAAGGACGGACCTTGTGCAGTGGGGTGGCTTTTAATAGCTTTTAATAGTTGCTGGTGTGTTTTTAAACGTTTTTGGACAACAATGGAGCTCTACAGCACAGAGGAACAAACTACATCAGGCTTTGGATACCTAAGACACATTTAAATCTGTAATTGTTGGTTTGGGTATTTCCATGGCATTTGTTGACCCATTATTATCTTCTAAGTCAATTCATTCCCAGTTTTAGAGCAGTACACTATATGCTTGTAGTAGCTATTTCCATCTCTGAAGCATAAACCAGCATATTTATGTTACTTTTTGAATTAAAAACAGACAAACAAAAGCTAATTGCTTAAATATTTCAGTGGATGTTATAGATGTTGGAGTTAAATCCGTCCACCCACTGTTATATACCAATAAGTAGACTACACAACTACTCATCATTGCATCCTTACCTTGACAAAGCTGGGGAGCTCTAATGTGACCAGACTGCGAAACTCATCTCTGCTCAGTGTGTCAGAGGAACCGTCACTACCAGCATACGCCTTGAACTTGGACACCAGCACACCAATAGCAGACTCCATCACAAGTCAAGAGGCGCACAGGGAGGATCTTCAGCCAAAATTTCAGGAAAGATAAAAATGAGAAAAGTTGTTCATCAAAAAAAATAATTCATTTACAAAATACAGTTGATTTATGATACAGATGAAGCTCAAGCTAGGATAGAAGATAAACAACTTGATCTGATATGATCAGGTAATACAAATCATAGAGACTCACCAACTCAGGTATGATGTGGGTAAGGTTGTGAAGACACACATCTTCGTGGTCTTTTTCTAGCCAACCTCTTCTGGCACAGAAGATAAATAATTCACTAATTGCTCGCTATGCCTGTGTTTTTGTTCACCATTCATTGCAACCAGTAAAAATTTAAACCATGTTTCCCCAAAAAACCACTGACCTTTTTCCATGACGTGATTTTAATTTCAGTGTGTAACTAGTCTCTGGAAGGAGTTAAGGATTGCTGAGTGAATCACCTCATTCAGGAAAACCCCAGACTAACTCAGACTGACAATCAGAGTTAGAACGAGTTAAACAGATTACAATGTGTGTGCACAAATTGTTTGATGTTTTGCTCAGTTCATGCCAAAGCATGGACAATAGTCTCACATTTTTCCTTTGCTATGGATGAGTGTGTAACTGTGGGCAAATTGCTTTAGAGAGCCAAAAGAAAGCAGTAAATCAGATATAATTATACAGCCTGTGTTGCAAAAACTTTTGAGAATGAGGCACTTGGGTTTCACCTCAGAGAAGTCACATTATTTAAGCCAAAGGTCTGACGGGATGTGCACAATTGGCATATTAGGGAGGCAGTTAGTGCTAACAAGCACAATGGCTTTATCATCCAAACATCCACACACCTTGTTTTCTTGTCTCAGCTGCATGACACACACACACACACACACACACACACACACACACACACACACACACACACACACACACACACACACACACACACACACACAATCTACATCCCCACACACCTGAAACAGCAGTCTACAGTTCTTCTCTTTCCATTCCCTCGGCCATCATTGAGGAAGGAGAGTGCAGCTACAAACACAAAATAAATGGCTTACAGAGAGGACTGAGACTTCATATACAGTATAAAAGCATCAGGGTTTTTTCCCCCATGGGGCGATGCTGCTTGTTGTTATGATTAATGTCTTATATATTCCTTGATTGCCTGCTGTACCCACCCATCCAGCACTTGGCCTTCAGAGTGAATGCATTTTATGCATTAAAGGTTTCATGCAAAAAAATTAAATAAAAGTCAAGGTCTTTAAAGTCATAGGTGTATATAGCAATGCTTATTTACAATACGTCCTTCCCCAGGCTTTATTAGGTAGATATTTATTACAGAGAAGCTGTTAGGGAATGTATATGTGCACAAGGCGTTGCTGTTCCAGAGACAGCAGTATTAAAGTATTGTGTGCACGTATCTGCTTGTGTGAGTGTGTGACATTACCACTGCAGCTGGATGGTTGAATGGCACCTGACCTTGTTTTGAGTGGTTAAATATGAATAGTTATTTCTCTTAGATCGTATAGAGATATGCAGTATGTATGTAAATAGTTTCAATATCTAACCAGGCTGGTAACTCAGGTATCTAGGCTCAAACAGACACTATGAATGACTGACAAAACAGACTCAGTGACTGAATAATGTGAAGTCATCATCATCAATCTTCTTTTCCTCTGTTGCCATCAGCTATGTTGTTCCACCCATCCAGATACAGGGGAAAGAAAAAGAAAGGGACAGCAGGAAAATGATCCCAGAGGACGGAAAGAGGATGAAATTAACATCAGTCTGGTTGAGGCGGAAGGAGTTGATTGCTCTGCAATGGCACACTCAGTAATACATCACTCATGTTGTAGCTGTCAGCAAATAATTAACAACTTTGTGCAGATTCCACTGACTTTTAACAGACATTGGTGGCACAATTGCTCAAACACACATAAACTTATTAATATTCAATAAAACAAAGGCCTTACCTTCTTTCTAACCTTGCAGATTCATCAGGAAATCTTGACTTAAATCCAAAAAGATCAAATTCAGATGAAGCATGAAGACCACAAATCACTGTTAATAAAATGTTTGCAGGTGGCATTCTTTGAAGATACCAAAAATGTAACAAGTGAGTGAAAAGAAGACAAAATCAAGTTATTTTATTACAGGGATGCACCCAATTTATTATTCTGCTCTCATGACAGTAATAGTGGCAAACATGAACATCCTAATCATACAAAGCTCTCTTTGCTGCCGCACAGTATGTGGTTCTGCATTAAAACCTTCTAAAATACAATCTCTGTGTGGCTGAAGGCCCTTGTATCAGCAACATTTCATAAGTTAGCGTGTAAACAGGAAAGAAAGAAAACATACTGTTTTTGGAAACTATTTGCCATGACCAACCTAATCAATAAAAAGCAATTGCTACTTTCACGATAAAACAATAATTAAGGACATTTTAGTGCACAACATGAGTTCTGTACCTGAAAAGAAACACACATGCTCAACATGTCGGTATTTTATGTGCCAACTGTTTGTTTATTTATATTATGCCAACCTCTATAAAATAAGTTAATTATATATTTCTGCATTTCAGCATAGTTCTTAACACATCTGATGCAATATGTACAAACATTCAAAACAAAGTCAATGCAGTCTAATTTCACATAAAATATTCACTAAACTTTTTTTCAGCAGGTCATGTTCACTTCACCCTTTAGAAAAACTTGTTTGTTTTATCTAAAGCTATTCTGAATTTAAGAGACAGGCTGAAGCAGTTAATACATAAAGATTAAGTACTGCAGAAACAGTCCTGATCAGTGAATAGGTAGGCATCAACAGTGCACAGTGCTGTTTGCAGAGGAAGAGGTGTAGTGTGTGAATAAGACTATACAGCATCTATTCCTGGATGAGAGTCAAAGCAGAGTACCATCCAACTCAATCTAACAGGTTTAATCTCCCGTATGCAAATGGTATACTAATGTCCTAAAGTAATTTCCATGTGTGTGCATGTGCATAAGTAAAGTAGAAAATGACCCACCACAGTGAAATTAAATTATAAACTGAACTTGCAGACGGAAGGGGTAAAATAAGATCCTGTAAAAAGGATAACAGGGTGACATACTGTGTATACCTGTAAGCATTTGTGGTCCATTATAAAATGTTCTCTTTGAATAAGCCCTCATCCGTCATGACAGCTCTTAGCTACTTTGAACAGATCCATCAGTTCTATCGCTTCATCAGCCCCGTGCCCTTCCGCTCTCCTTCCTCCACTCCCCTTTGGATCTCTCCTCTTTCTCTCTGGCTCCAGGCAGTGAAAACCTTTTCATGACATCTTTTTCAAACCCTTCCATTTCTTCTTCTAAGGCGCTATCCTCCTCTTCGTCATCGCTATCTCCTTCCACCATGTCTTCCAAAACATCTCCCAAATCTTCGACGAAATCTTGAAAGCTCATCTTGTCGTGAACGAAGACTCCGTCCTTGAAGAACTCATTGGCTAGCTTTTTGAGCTCTTCTATTTTGGATGCATCCACCCCCACCTCCTCTGCCTTGGCTAGGTACGTTTGGAGGATGGCCTCGAACTCAGGGAAGGGGACAGGGAGAAGACCCTCAGTCTTGGCACAGGTCTCCAACGAGTTACAGTGTTGTGGTGGTTTGGGGTTGTGCTGGAGGCGGTCTCGCTGCTGGACCCAGTACTCAGGCTGCTCCATGGAGGGTCGGCGGTGTGCGTGAGGAGGATTCTTGTCTCCCCACAGATGCTCTTGCTTGTGTTCGTGATTACCGGTAAATTTGTCCTCGTCTTTGTGTTTTGGGGAGCTTGATCGGTCTTTGTTCCAATCGCCATTGAGTTTTTTTTCTTTCTGTCCTCCTTCTTTCTTTTCCCACTGTTTCCTCTCATCCATGTTCTTCCACTCCTTATCATCTTTACCATTTTTACTCTTCCACCCGTTCTCTTTCCCTGGTTTCCTCTCATCCTTCCCCTTCCTTTCTTTGCCATGATTTTCGCTCTCTTTCCACTGTTTCTTTTCACCCCTTCCTTTCCCTTCTTTACTATGATCTTTGCTTTTTTCACTCTTCCATTCATGGTCTTTCTTCCACTCTTTCTTTTCACCTTTCTCTTTCCAATCTTTTTTCTCCCATTTCTCTTTGCCACTTTCCTGATTGCCATCTTTTCCTTTCTTCCATTCTCTCTCTCCCTTCCATTCCCTACCCACATGCTTTTCTCCGTGGTCTTTTCCTACCTTCCAATCCTTCTTCTCCTCCTTACCCCTCCATTGTTTACCCTCATTCACTTTTTCATGCTGTGACTTTTTCCAGCCTTTCTCCTCCTTCAATTCTTTTCTTTCACTCTTTTCTATCCGATCTTTCTTCCCTTCCCTTTCCTTCCATGGCTTTCCTTCATCACCTCTGCTTGCCTTTTCTTTCTTCCACTCCTTATCCTTCCATTGTTTTGTCTCATCACTGTGCTTCTTTTGCTTACCTTCCTTATCTTTCTCCTTGTCAAACTTTCCTTGCTCATGCTTTCCCTTTTTCCATTCTGTTTTGCCTCCATCCTTGCGCTCCTTTTTCTCTCCTTCCTTCCATTCAGATGTGTCTCTCACTTTCCCCTCTTTCTTCTCTCCCATGTCCTTTTTATCCATCTTCACATCTTTCTTTTTCTCCTTCTGGTCTGGCTTCCTAGGCTGTCTCTCTGCAGATCCAGCTGTGGCCTGTGTGCTGTCCTCTGGCTGGCCACTGGGGGGCAACGTAGTGGGCTTCACAGGTGCTTGAACTGCTTCACTGGCTGCTGAAGGAAACACAAGAAGTCACTACAACTACAAAGATGAGGTGTGAACATTCAAGAGAATGACAGGAAAGAAAAAGGAAGAAACACATGGCCCTTTCCCTAGCTGTCTAATAACTATCACCCTTCTACATCCTCTACGTCCCCTCCCTACCTCCTCCCTCTCTCCCTTTGTACCTGAGGAGAGTTTTAATTCAGTCACAGTGGCCCTCAGTGTTTCTAGTTCTTTCTGTAGGGCCGGGACAGACTCCAGCTCTCTCTTCATCCTCTCGTTCTCTTTCTGAAGGACAGGGAGAGATGCCACCTCTTTCTTCAACCTACTGTTTTCCTTCTCCACCTCCTCCCACTGCAGCCGCTCCTTTGCTCCCTCTGCTGCCTGTCCCTCGGCTACTTTTAGCTCTTCTTTCTGTGCCTGTTTGAAAAAAGAAGAACGGTAGAAGAGGGTCCTGTGAGAATATTACACACTCAGTGACACGTTTATGCGCGCACACACAGATTTATGTATATATGTATACTGCAAACACACACACACACACCAACCAACACCCCCACACACAGAGGAGAGATAATGTGAGAGACAGAATGGAGTCACACCTGAAGTTGGGCTTGTAGCACAGAAATCTGCTGGTTCCCTTTGACTAACTTATTTAGAAGCTCTGTACTATCAGCATCTACTGGGGGTGGAGGAACTTCTGGATTAAGCCACTCCTGTCAACAAATTGCACACAGAGCAACACAGTGGCGAGATTTTAGATAATGTCTCAGAATTATTATTGCCAGACAGAGTAGCCGAGAAGTGAGAGAACTGAGATAAGAAAGAACAAAAGTCCAGAGTAGCAGTAACGGCAATAATGCTGCCAGTGTTGTGGGTGGTCTCCTACTGAGCATATCACACTAAAAATTCATGTGGTGGCGATAGCCAATGTACTGTAAAATGGGTACACACAAAATGCTGTTATAATGAATAAAAGTTAGACCAGAGAGAACACTGACAGAAATGAAGTAGAAAAGAAAAATAAGTGTCAAAATGACGTCAGACTGACCTGTTTTACTGGTAACTCTGCGTCTTGCACTTCCATCGTACCATAGTCACTCTCTGCAAATGTTTTATGCAAAGCTTAATGTTCATGTGAATAACACCCAAACAATAATCAAGTTTTTACAATAAAATGTGTACTTCTCAGCTATTACGCTAATTTTCAGTTTCAATTTTGACCTTATCCTCCATGCTCTGGAAATGTTTACACTGATCATGCTAAGGAGCATTTATAATAACCTAAAAAGCAAGTTTCACTAGAAAAAGCATGGTGGCCAAGCAAAAAACTACATTTACATTATGGTGATGTGGTACATTTATTTAACAACAGCAGATAAGCTTTGTTGCATAAGTCAGGAATCACTCTCTTGCTCTTGCTTACAAAAGTTTAAAAGCGTGCAGTGCTTTAAAAATGCGCTTCTACTGTCATATGCATGCACGTTCCCACATGCAAACACATGCAGTGGGCAAGCAAGCACTCATTCACTCACACACACACACACTCACACACACACACACACACACACACACACACACACACACACACACACACACACACACACACACACACACACACACACAACCTACCCTCATTTAGGTCCATGAAGACACCTGCAGGTATAATACACCTCAGTCTCAGAGCACCCTTTGTACTGTTTACTGCTAATAACTCATCACTTTCCTCTAACTAACTTCACTTTAGAATCTTAAATATAATCAAACATTAAAAGGCAAAACAAAATGGGAGGCTAACATTCTCAACGAGTCGTTTGGGGATACCTACCTGAGAAAAAGATGGTGCCGAGGCCTAACAGAATGACAGCACCCAGGATGCACTTGTTCACAGAGAACCCGCTGTCGTCCTCCCGCTGTGGCAGCTGAAACTCTTCCTCTCCTTCCTCTTCCTCATCTGTCCTTCCGATACGCTCCAGAGCGGCTAAGAGAGACCTCCTTCTCCTCACCTCTGGCTCTCCCTCCTCTCCTGTCTTCTCAGTCCTCTCTTCACCCACCTCTAAATCCACAGGGGAGTCTAGACCGGTGGAAGTATGGAGTATGAGAATCTGTTGTTAAAATATATTTGGACTATTACTTTGAAATTTACAGGTTTAATCTATTTTATGGGTACCTCCAAAGCATAAATGTTTGAAACAACTGATCATTTAACGTGAATTTATCCATTAGATAATTTTATTTTATGCCACATTATTATTTTAAAGCAAAGCTGTTGCACATTATTCAGCGCAAATTCGCTCATCACTTACACTGTTGATGTTAGATAGCACAGCAGCTATAGCGCTGTAACCGGTCTGATGCTGCAGTATGAGAAAAAACTCCTTGTGGGAGGTAAGGCTTCTTTATTGGCTCTGTTGTGCATAGCACCCTGGTTAATTTGTTCCCACTGCCATTTCTTATTTTCCTTTATAATGCATAAATAAGGCTTAAATCTTGAATAAATTATTTGGAAAATTTATGTTTTTCATTTGGCAACTTCTAGCACCTTGAAACAACAATACTTAACGTTTCCAAACTATCCACATCACATTTTATTGCTAAAAAGCAACGGTACTGTAAAAGGGAACTATAAAGAACTCACTGTACTCTAGTTGGTAAACAAAACGTGGGTGAGAAAAATGCACAACAGAGCAAAAGAAGACTCATTTTTTTAATGCTGTAGTCAGAAAAAGAGCTGCAGACCCAAAACACCACACTGCAAAAAACTTTAGAGGTCCAAGTCCCTCTGAAGCCAATTTAATTCTGCAGGGTGTCATGCAACTAAAAGTTTCTCTGTCACATCATGCTCCCTGCCTCATACCAACCACAACCTCTCCAGACAACCTCCTGGCCCAGATACAGAACAATTCCATTACCAGCTGGTCCACCAAGTACACTTCAAACACAAATAGTACATACGGCTTAAGGAAAGGCTACAGGCATACCAGGTGATGATGTTTGCCATGTATATAACAACATACAGATAATAAAAACTGAAGCTGGGGTTATTCAAATATTAATGTAATTATGATGCGACTAAAGTCTTGTTGTTCATACCTGCCTGTTTCCCTACGTCAGTTGTCCTCTGAGACAGGTCTGACTCCTCCACTTCCTGTTGTAGCTCCTCCTCATGTAGCGGATGCAGTTGTCCTTCCTGTTTGAGCCCTTCCTCTTCTTCTGTAAACTCCACCCCTCCCAGAGTCTCTGTGCTCAGCAGTGAGGCTGGGGGCTCATCAGGGGAGGGGGTTATGTGGGTGTAGGAGTCAGAAAATGAATCAGGGTCAGGGCTGGGCTGTGCCGGGCCCTCAGGTAGGCCCTGTGACTGGCTGAGTGCATCAGTGCCAGGGACAAAGCTGCTGGACACTTCCAGAGTGGTCGGAACAGGAGCATTAGTGATGGCACTGGGCACAGAGGCGTGTTGCCCTGTGCTTGTGTCTCCACTTAGCTCTGCTGTTTTTTCTTCTGAGACCTAGGCATAAGAATCAGGTAATTAACATTCTTATTATTAGTATTAGTATTTCACTGTCAGTTAAAGGTTTTAGTTCTTCCTTTAGCATTTTTGGTTTTAAACTCAAACAATGTGTCTAATTAAAAAGAGTTAAATGAGCTGTCCTTTACCAGTCTACAACAAACAACAATTTGCTATTTTATGGGGAGTTATATGCTGGACTATTTCTTGTCAAGGACCAGTTGCCAGGCAACCAGCAGTTGCGGCTAGAAAAATAGTCCACAATTGTCCAGGTAGATATTGTTACCTTTTGAACCAAGCCACAATAGCTGTTTCCAGTCTTTATACTAAGCTAAGCTAGCTAGCTGCTGGCTGTAGCCTTAATGAGACAGATATTTATTTATTTATTGTTGTTATTTAAATAGAAACTTTGTGCTGAAGATAATTTTATAACTCCATCAAGAAGCTGTAGCCTGGTAACAGTTACACTTATAATTTGAATGGTGATAAGTGGCTACACGCCCACTCAGCCAATTAAAAGTAGATTCGAGTATTCACTCAAACAATGGTATAATTCCAAAAAAAGACAGCAGAATGTGCTCATTGGCCAACCATAACTACATATTCAGCTAAGCTAAGTTATAAATATGACGTGACAGAAAATTATGTCTATAGCTGTCTTACCAGGTGGCCCTGCACAGGGAGCCCCTCTGCAGACTCTGCACCACTTGCAGGCTGGTTCTCCCCAGAACCTGGATTGTCAAACACAGACACAGGAAACAAGAAGGGAGACCTTTAGAGCAATAGTTTAACATATTTCAGTTGTGACTCTTTGAAATAGGGGTGGGCAATATGGCCAAAATCTTGCATCATGGTATATGTAATTATATATCACTTAATTGAGAAATGGTTAAAAACTATATCATCACATTTGATTATTTTCTTCTTTTATTTCTAACTTTCATACAAACAAAGACAACTGTCTCACATTCTTCTCCCTCATCTTGGGTTGGTTGGGAAGCCTCCTGCTCTGTATTTACAATTTCACTCTCCTCCTCAATGTTTTCTTGTTACTCTCTTCTTCTGTAGCGGTTGGCAAAACCAGCTTACAGGTACATTACCGGCACCAATTGTCACTGTCACATCACGTGAGAATGTGGTAAGCAGTCCTGCTGCCTGAATCACGTTAACTTGCAAAGCAGCTGGATTCACAAGATCACAAGTTAATCCACCCAATTTGCTACATAGCCTACTCCGAATATACAGTATAGCAGAGTCTCTAAGGCGATAGCTCCTGTGGTGTAAATGGTACTGCCAAATCTTCCGGTGGACACATTCCTACCGTTGCCAAGTATATATACCATCTTTTGGTCAATTACAAGAAAAGGCAAATGTGCAAAAGTAAGTAAAAATGAAAGCTAGAAATTATAACAGGTTTGTTTGTGAACCTCTCCCATTCGTAGAATGTATTGTGACAAACACCTGCTGCAGATGTAAGGGTTTCTTCATGATGCTCCTTCCCCTCTGCCAAAGGCCTCAGGGTTTCAGCGGCGGTTTCCTAAAACAAAGAAACAACAGTCAACAGAAATAGACACACAGACATTACCATTTAGATATTATAGCCAGAGCAATCTAGGCTAATCTGAAAAACACAGTCTATCTTTTGACCCTTCTGAGTAATAGTTAATTCATAAAAAAGAAATGAAACAAAGGCAGTCTTATTAGAGAAACCTACTTCATATTCAGGTGACCCAAAAGAAAATCAATTGGGACAAGGACTTTTCTTTTTTAAAAATAATGCATTTTCAATGAGGTCAAGCACAGCGACTCCCTCCACATGTTCCTATGCTCTCTACACAGTGGTGATACCTCAGGAGTGAGGATGGTCCAGCTGTTGTTAGCACTGCTGCCACCAGACATGGCCCCCTAGAGGCTTTGCCTGTCTCCTGCAACAAAAGAGGAGCACACAGAACAGATCACATGTAATCATCAGCACTGGGACGAAATCAAATGAAACGGATGAACGTATGAACCTATACTCCTTTGTGGTTTCAAACACTGTGCATCAAAGCTGGCTGTGTGATTTTCCAACAAGGTAAATCCTAAATTTATAGACAGCAGAGTGGGAAAAATAACTCTGTGGATTTTTTAACAATGCACTTACGGAAGCAACAGATAACAAGCCCCATGTTAGCAGGTGTATTGTTAAAAGGCCTTTCACTAGTCTACAATCAGGGTGACAGTGTGAGTACTGCTGCTTGAAAAAAAATGTGTTTACATCCTCTGTACCCACACACAGGATTTGAATACATGCCTTTGCTTTTCAGCCTCACCCATTCTGCCAATAAAGGAGCTACTGTAACCTGTTGTTAAAACACTGCTGTGTGTTTGTGCATGTGTGCAGGAAGTCCAGTTCCCTGGAACCATTCAGTTCTTCATTAGTAGTTTGTGTGTGCTGTGGGTCTTTTGGTCACCCTGGCTTTTGACTAGCTTGGAAATGTTTTGGCAGAGACTAGGGTAACTAAGGCCGGCACTATTCTGGAGATACAGACAGAAGAATGGGCCGTATATTTCAAAGCTACTGGTCTGGTAATATATGTCTACAAACCACCAATCATCAACTGTACATTGTATAGACCTATTCTTATGTGTACATTACTATGGGATTTTTACAGTAAGATAAATATTTGGTGCAACTGTTTTTCCTTTTCCTATACATCTGTAGTGAAGTACCTGACCAACACAACTCTTTCTGAGACACATGACACTGACATTTCACTTTCACCACCGGATCAGATATAAAGCCTTTCCTTTCAAACTGCAGAGGATGACATAACAGAGACACATATTTACTATGTGTAGTCTGGCTTTTCTTTCAGTGAAAGCAGAAACAACGAACCACTTAAGTTAACACCACATCGTCTGGGTAATGGCACACTTCACTCCCAAAATTCAATTCTCTCCCAGCTCCGCAATTTAGGTCTCCTAATCGAGTGCCTCCCAAGAGGAGTCTTCTGAATCTAGCCTAGGGCCCTAGGAGCATTGTGGAGCATATAGTGGAATGGCTTAAATAGATACCAGCTAAATATAGCTACCATGAGATTGACTGGAGACAGAGAGAGGGAGCATGCAGAAGATGGCCATGGGGAACACAACAGAGGCACAGATGTATTCTAAGGACAGTGTTAAAAGGATTATTCTAAATGCACCACAAAGCTGGTGGTTTTTAACAGAGAAAAATATATTTTTCACTGCCTTGTACTCTTATTCTCTTATGTTTATAAGTAATATCTAACTTAAACTACAAAGCTCTAGCTTTGGGAGGCTGGATCACACCATATCTTAGCTTTATATGTTCACAGCTGTCATATTAACAAATACTTTAGGTAATTCATACAGTTTCAATCAAACAATAATCTGCATTCAGTTTAGTTTATGTATGTGTAACTGAATTAGACAGAAGTGCCTACACTTGTATTTTGTCCTGACCAAAATACAGCCAAACATATGACTACAACTGTACGCCTAATCTTATTATCTTGGTCTCAGCGGGGAAAATTACCAAAAAAGGTCAAGAGAATAAACTGCAGGAGAGGCCAATAGGACAGCAACGTTAGGCTGTCAGCAAAAGCACCATAAGCAGCTTTTTTACCAGACGTTCACACACAGCATCCTCTAGTGAGCAGCCAGTTCATCTAATTATTATGCAAGTTAGTTATACAGACTGAGCGAGAAGCCTGTGACAGGAAATACCATATGGCGATGGGCTCAAAGAAAAATAAAACTTAAAACACCGAGTTAGACTCAGAAATGTCACCTTTTCAACGCGTTGAATGCCAGCGTGAGTAAGTTAAATCACTAAAGGGTTCAAACAACATATACATTGTTAACACTGGCCATAAAAACACTCTATCGAGCAACTAGGAAAAAGTAAAGTGAAGCGTTGGAACCACGCAATGGAAGAACAAACAACAACAGAACTGGCGTTGTAACGTTGTAATAAAAACACTTGCATCCTCATTTAGCTCATTCTTACCGTGGTCCGTCGCTTTAATTCGGACTCCACAGTCTGTCACAGATACAGAAGACACTTCTGAGTCTTCCCATCCAACTTGGGAACTTGAAAGAAGAAGGTGCCTCCTAAACTTGCAAGATCCACGCGCCTCTCGTCCAATCACAGGCGGTGTTCGCTCTAGACCCGCCCCTCGCCCTCCTGTTCGACCAATGGCAATGCGGCGACACCGTACCTCACTAGGAAAGCTTCCAAATTGATTGACAGAAGCAGGTGACGGTAGGTATGTAAAACATACATCTTATATATGTTGGGGTATATTTTTCAAACACCACCAGTCCCCCGGTATTTGATGCTGATAGTCCACAGGCTTGGTCTGATTCCAGGTCGATATTTTGGTCACAATATCCTCCTTCGCCATTTACAAGTTTTTGTTCAATACATGCATAAATTGGACCTCTATGCTAGTTTGCATCTCATTATATATATATATATATAATTTTTTTTTGCTGCACAGTATATGTTAACTATAAGATTGATCCAAACAAATTGAACAAAAAAGCAGACATAAAGGTAATATTTTTCTATTCATTAGTTCCTTTATTCATTGCACACCAGTTTTTGTTGTACAGGAGTGTCATTCCTCAAGATCTCAGATCAGCAGGCTGAATTCAGGACACTCTGACCCAGTCTCACAATGAACATTTGTAGCATCGGGAAATGCGCAAGTGTGTTTTCTGGAACCCAAGAAAAGCATCCTACAGATAACAACAGAACAAAGATATAAATAAAAAACATGTTAAATATGCAAATAGGCATTTTATGATTTAGCAAACCTATTCCTCATTTCAGTTGCTGCTTATTGAAAGCCTTTAAACAGTACACAACATAAACTGCTCTATATAAATAATAATGATTTTACTTCACCATTTGCTCTAGTAGTTTGTTGTCATATGAGACAAGACTCATACTTGCCAATGCTTTGCCAGCACCGCTGATCAAACACTCCATTCCTGATGAAATAAAATGTGGTTGAAATTACACTGTAGGAGCCAACGGAGAAAAGGGGAAAATCAATGTTTGACCACTTGATCTACTCTCTCTCAGTCTGTCAGTCCAGGATCTCTTTGATGCACCAGCAGCAGAGAAGGAAATACAGGCACTCCTTAACCGATTGGATGAAACCGTAGGCAATGTTTCCACCCATGAAGTTCTTGCCTCGTCCCAGACCCATGGCCATGTCCCGCAGGTGCTGTCCCAGAGAGGAGGAGGGCATGGCCTGGGGTAGAGGACGCTGGGGATGCATGGCTCCGGAGGATGAAAACGAGCGCGCGGGCTGAGGCAACAAGGAGGGCAATTGATGGGAAGAAATAGGAGGTGAGGTCTGACAAATAGGATCAGACTGGGGCCTGTGCAACAGCTGAGGTCTGCTCCGTTTTCCTGGCACAGTCAGCTCCCCTACTTATAACCTCCTATACAAACTGCAGGCTGCCTCCATTCACATCCGGCTTTTTCTCGACTGTTCCCTGCTTTCAAACATCCGCTGATTGATTAAAGGCCTTGTTTACCTTTGCTGTGCAGTGTTCCTCTCAGTTGTACGCCCCACGCACAGACTCTCCCCTAGGCTCTAATAATCCCTGAATCAGCCCCCCACTGTTACAGGCTCATCTGTTCACAAACAGGATAGTTCCAGTGGCTCCAATACACCCCCCCCCCACATCCCACTCTTTGTTCAGGACAATATGTGATTGGCAATCATACCTTCTAGCAGTGTGTGTCCTTTGTATTTTCTTTTTCCCCCCTGTACTTTGAGAAAAAAAAATGAAAGGGATCTTAAAAGGCATTTCCAACAATATGAAGAATACTCAGGCTAAACGCACGCCTATCATATCAAAAGCCAAACTCACAAAGAGAGATGAATGATATATGTATTTATATAATGCAATCTATATTTTCAGATACAGGTGTAAACCAACATGTTTCCCTAAAAACAAAAACAAAAGTATTAAAACAGAAACATAAAAAGTAAAAATCAATATCTGTGCACGCTATTTGAAAGTAACCTTTGGCTTTCAAAAACACAAATTAAAAAGTACAACAGCATCATCAACACAAGCACCACCACCAACAACACACAAGAAAATTGTTATTTTTGAAAAGGATTTTCATGCAACAAAGGCATCCGTGATGAAAGGATGATAACACGGGACCAGTTCACTAATGATGCAGAGGGTCAGGTGGGTCTGATTCAACACACACACACACAGCAGAACTTAGAGCTCTGGTTTTCCTATCTCTGACCTACAAACAGAGTGCAAGCACAGTGTGAGGGTCTGACTGACCCAGCTGACACTCTGGTATGTGTGTGTGTGCATGTTAGATTACAAGTGAGCCCTCTTCAGGGTCTGAGTACTAGTTGACAGTTAAGGTTTAGGTTGAAAGATCCCTTCTCGTATTTCTCTTTGACAAGTTCAATTGGCTTTAAGAAGAGCTACCTCAATGCTGTGGTTCCTGGCTCTGTGTTTACTTATCAAATAAGTCATTAAATATACAACTATGAAAACAATAATCCAATACTGAGCTGACCAGTCAAAAACCAATGTTATTTACAGATGGTCAAGAAATATCCCGCCAAATGGTGACATCAAGTATCTGTGACTATAAGCTGAATGCAAGAATGTGCATCAGAGGAGATTGCCATCACTGGATCTGTTTATGTGTGTTTATTGGAGTGTCATTTTTGCAGAGTCTTTGTTTAACTGAGAGGCTTGTGTGAGATTCTCCTGTAGTCGACTACATTTGAATTAAGTACATAAGGTGACTGCATTGAAGTGACGTGACTGCATTGAAGAAACAAGGCACAATTAAAAAAGACATTAAAAAAACACAACTTCATGAACTGAGGGAGGAGGAAGAGGAAAGGAGAAACAATAGTGTGAACTTCTCCCCCCCCTCCACAAAATCCTCAAAGGTTTGTGAAAACAGCACACTGAGGAGAAACATTTGGCTTAAAACATCTCATCTTTAGCAATGCTCCAAAAACATTTATGTCCTTATGTTCAGTTACCCCCAAATCACTTCATTTGATAATTTCTTTTTTCTAAAAAAGGACATTATTCCCTCAAATGATTACAAAATAAAGCAACATCACAATACACAAAAATTACCTAACCAGTTACTACAACATTTGCATCATTTTTGCAGAGAGAAATTCATTGCTCCGGCTGTTCAACATTTGTCATTGGCCAACATTTAAAGGGATCTCCTTTAACTACTCCTTTTCAGTCAGAACACTAGATAAAGATAGAACCCATAGATTGTCAATGCAAACACATACTAAGTCAATGAAAAGCAACAGGTCAAACGATCTGGTCTATACTTCTCAAAATGTACTAGTTATTGTGTTTGTGGGTGACATCAACGCACAGTTTACATTAAAGATCTCATTTTAGATTACATATTCAGGCACAGTCATCTAGATTCTTCTCCTCTCTAAAACAGGCCCATTTAATATGCATTTTCTCCTATCTACATTTGCACCCAATACTGTAAGCACACCAGACAGATAATCATGGCTTTCTCTGCCGTTAGCGACCAAGTTCATGTTCTTTGGCATGACAGGTGGTGCAGATCGTGTGTGGTGTAAAGGTGTGTGTGTGTGTGTATATCTGTGTTTACAGAGGGATTAGGGAGATACAGCTGATTCGTTTCTCCTGAACTCAGAATGTCCAATAAGTAAAGAGTCCCAAGATAACGGAGAAAAAAACAAGGAAAAAAAGAACGTATATCATGGCATAGCAGTCCCCAGTTTTGCATACAGGCTTTCCTCATTACCAGGTATCACTCTGGGGGTAGGGGGTCAAAGTTCAAACATCCATAAAAGGGGAGTGGTTGGGGGTAAGGTGGCCCTCCTGATTAGACTGGAAGCAAACTTGTTTATGCATATTCACCAGGCAGAATTAATACAAAGTCAGGTTTGCTGCTGAAGTGCTACAGGCTCAAAGCGTTTATGTTTAAGCCTGATTCAGTCTCTGAAACAAAGAACCGCTGCCATCCAGTTTGTGTTTTGCCTAATATACTCCAGCAACAGTCTGAGGGAAATCACTCCCTGAAAGAAAGAACAGGTGCTAAAAAAGGCATAAAATCTCATCCGAAGTCCCATTAATGCTCCTTTCTTCACTTTTCAGTTCCACAATTTCTTTGTACACAATTCCATGGACTAGTAGTTCTTTTTTTTTTTTTTTTTCATAATCGTACAATAAGATTCGGGTTTTTTTTCTGTAAAAAAAATTGCATTTTTTTTTTCTGCCCGTTCTTAAATTAGCAAAGGGCTCCTCCCTGGTTCACAGTAGGCTGTTGAGAAATTGCAGCAGTGCTTCTCTGTTGTGGAGGGATGCGCCTGATAGTTGGTGGGGTCAAGGACTGCAGGTCACAGTTTGGCTTTCAGAAAGGAATATGTGGCAACAGCAGCAAGTGAGTGATTTTGCAGAGAAAAATAAGTTTTTTGTCTTTTTTTGGCTTTCTTTGCTATGATGTGTGCATATTTATTATTGTGTATGTGTATCAAGTGTAGTGTTGCTGTGTGTCTTATCGCTAATGCAGGTGTGTTTGTCTTGCGTTGGGTTGCTGCAGGAGTGCGTTATATTTGGTGGAGTATTTCATTGGTGTGTGTTTAACGTCAGGCCCTGCGCTCTACTGGCTGTTGCAGACACACTTCACTACCAGCTGATACAATAGGGAGTCTGTTGTCCATGTGGTAGCTGATCAGGTGACTCACACTTTCAAACCGATGGTCTTTTGTACGGACCTAAAAGACAAAAAAACACAAATTGCTTGTTTAAATACATACACACCTATACAACCAAGGACAACACCTCTTAAAAAATTCCCCTAGCCAATTCATGCTTTTCCCTCCCGTTTGTGTACTCTCTCGCCCGAACTCACCACTCCTTCTGGGTCGACTAGTAGCAGGTGTTTGGGCTGACCACCCTGCTGTCCCGTGAGGACGTACTGTCCCGGTGTGGTCCCAGATTCTCGCACCAAGAAGTCTCCATCCCGGGTCAGCAGCCTCTCTGCTTCCCTGCGACTTAAGCTACCATGGAACCAGGCCTCACACTGCAACTGCTGCACCAGAGGGGGCGCTGCTGTCACTGAGCCTGGGACACCATGCCCAGAGACCCCCAGGGCATCATCAAATGGCTCTTGAGAAATAAATACACACACATTTCTATTATTGTATTTCTCTCAAATGCATCCTATAGAGCAAAAAATAACCTGTTATCCTTAAATATTGTCTGTTTAGTGAACCACATTTCTGACAGTTGTGTGGCATGCACTGATAGTGGGCTGTGCCTTTAATGTGAGGAGCTTTACACAGTCAACCAATCAAGTTACATAAAATGCCCCTGTAATGGACAAAAGCACTCTAATTCCCTTATCTTCTTCCAAGGCGGCCTTCTGTGGGCAGCTCCACTCTTCAATTAGTCTGTCATATAGAATGTACAGTACACACTACTCTGCTCATCTCCTCAGTCAATAATTAACCCTTATTCTCTCCACATAGTAAAACAATTGCCCTAGCAATTTTGTTTACAACCTACACATCTTGTCAGCGTAGGTTGTAAACAGCTATTTAGTTTTTAAACATTTTACCCTGATTTGTCAAGCTAGAATGATTTTCCTAAAAACAACATAGACGGACTGAATAAGGCACTTACTCATGTCAAAAGCATCTCTGTGAGCATTTCCATTGGCTGCAACTGGGGGGCGGGGTTTATCCACATTGACGTATGAAGGGTCATCGAACAGTTCCCGTCCCCCTTCTTTGGCTCCCACTGAAAAAAGACAAAACGGACATCAGTGACCTTGGCACATCTTACCATTCCTTCATTAGCCATGTGCATTAAATGGCATTTTAACCACCCATGACAAGATAAAACAACACAAGAAATATAGTAAAGAAAATGTGTGACTGAATTCTGTCCTAATTGCGCCTGGATGATTAGTCTTCCCATTTCTCCGGATTTACGGTGAATCACAGAGAGATCCAGACAGACAGGTAGAGACAGAGCTCACCTGGCAGAGGCGGCAGCGGCTGCTTGTGAATGTCATTCTGGCCTGGTTGTCCATAAGGCTGCAAACAGAGGCATATAAACAAACAGTGAGTCACAGCCACATGTGGGCATACTCTGGCATACATATTCCTATTAAAAGGGTTACAAAAGGTCAATGATGATTTGTCTTTTACAAACCGAGCAATCCCAGCTGGGTTACTGTTGCCTTTTCATTTTTTTAGGCTCAGAACTAGGCAACTCTGAATAATATGGTGTTTAGTAATTAGATTCCTTACAAGTGTATCATATCTTGACTACAGTATGAGCAGTGTTTGGATGTGTTGAAACATGTGTATGAGTATCTCCTCCTCCTGTTGTGTTTATTTGCAGTTTTCTCACCAGCGTGGCACCTGGGCGGGTCCTCATGTCAATCAGTCCACCAGGGGGAGGCTGTTTTCCAGGGAAATTATTATAGTAGGGGACATCAGGAGGCGGAACTGCCTCATCATCTTCTTCCTCCCATGCAGAGCCGTCAAACGGAGCCATTCTGGGAGAACAGGGGTGATGCAAACGCATATACAGAATCACATTATGGGTGACAAAATACAAACATAAGCTTGTGTTTTGGGGCTCATGTGAGTGAAAATGTGCACATTTACCTGTCATGAGGTGTGACCAGTTTGGGGGGGTTCTTCAGGTACTGTTTGAAACGCAGT